CCCCAGTGCTCCAAAATAATTTCTTCCTCCTTTTCAAAACATCCCACTGTTTTGTTACAAACTCTACAGCAGCAAATCTGTGCCAAGAAAGTAATGTCAAATGCAGTTACTCTTCCCATTCACATGGTATCACTTCTAAAGTTTCATCTTGCTTTTGGTGTTTCCTTAACAAGTAGTTTCTCCCTTCCTTCATTTCCACGAAGGCACAGAAGTCTCACAGGAATAACAAATAGTTTCAGTTTAAAGAAGTAGATTAGGATGATTAATAAAGTGTGTATCTTAATTACTCTGGAAAACTATTACTCCAGCTCTTTGTTAAGTTCTTGAAATGCATGAAAACCAGCAAATTCTAGGGTTTATTCAGTAAGTCAGCTCAAAAAAAAAAAAAAAAAAAAAAAACCCAAAAAACAACAACAAAAAAACCAAACCAAGATATATGAGCAAACAAATAGTAGAGAAATACAGTCCTCTTTCACAATTTTCTTACGCAATCTTCTTAACTACATATTTCAGTACTGGATAGCAAACTCCAGATTGTCGGAATTCGTTTTTATTCAAGTGATAAACTATATTCAATAGCTCCAAGTGAAAACCACATGGATGGCAGTACAACAGAGACAGCTATTTTATGATGTCAAGTAGAACAGCACAGCTGTAATTCACTATGAAGTTTCCATATATTCTGTTATGAAAGTGATGATGAGTTGATGATTTTATCATAAAGCTGTCAAATACTGAAAACTATTCAATAAAAACAATTTCATGGAGTTGCAAAAAGACAGTAGACTTCTCAGATTACGCCAGGTACAGCTCTCCTAACAATCAACTATAAAATATTGCTTTTTTTCAACAACAACAACAACAAAACCAACAAAACGTAAAAACAAAGCAAAAACAAGTAAACAAAAACTACCCTAGAAGACTTCATCTGTAAACTATTCATACCACTTTGGATTTGGTTTCAAAAAAATGGTCCAAACAAACGTGAAATGGAATAACTTCAGCCCCAGTAGGGTAATACTTCATCAAAATAGTCTTCATTGATATTCTTGCATTTAATTTTAATGCCACTATTTATGTATTTAAAGTAATAGAACTTAATTAACCTCTCAAGTGATATCTCAAGATTTCACTACATTTCACACAATCACTCTAAAAGCTATATGTAACTGGCTTATAATCTTTAAAGGGAGATTCTTTGGTCAGTAAGAGATTATTTCCTCATAGAATTCTATAAATATTCACTTTCATACCTCCTCTCTATCACTTACACACTTAGAAACCAAATTACAAAATTGAGATGTAAATTACGAGCACAGTAAAACCACAAAAAAGGTTATTCACCGTTATCTTTGCATATGTGTGAACACAGCAGTAGGAAGGCCTGCTATTTAAAGTTTCTTACATTTCCAGAATGTAACAAGATCTAACATATCTTCTGTAATTACTTTCTTAATTCTAAGACTTGAAGGTGTTGTTTTGTTTTCTTTTTAAAATCTCTTGCTATATTCATATATTGACTCATTACTGGCTTTTTGTATTCTATACACAGGAACTGATGGAAAATAAAATGAATTTTCAAATGTAATTACTATATTCGAAGTTGTCTATGAACTCATTCAGGTTAAGAAACAACATTTTCCTCAGCAGTAAAACAAAGTGTTTTGGAGCAATGATGCATTACGTAGGGAAAGATGTTATTATATGGCATATGGTTCTGTTAGAAAAGAATGCTTTATCAAGGACACTAAAAGAGCAGAGATGCATCTCGCATTTTCCCAGAACTTTTCCCAAGACTAAATGTAATTACTGTTAGCTATTCTCCAATGTGTATGCTGTATACTATGATTTACATAGAATAAACAGGAATTTTAATATAATACTATGCAAACATTATAAAGGCTTTACTTCCCATTGCCAAGTACTTTTTAAGTAGTATATCTCCTGAAATTTCATACGTATGAAGAAGTATGAGTGAGGGGAAAAAACTTCAGAGGAAATCATTTACTTTTATGAGTTTCTTTAATTTGTTTTTATTTTCTAAAGAAAGACTAAACCTATGTGATGTTAATTCTGTTTAAGAATAATTTCATGATGACTCACTCGTTTGCAATTCTTCAGGAAGATTCTCTATTTGCTTGGTTTTGTGTAAAATGTATATTTAGTTTTTATAAATTCTTTTAAAAGACAATAATGGTTTCCAAAACTAATTCAAAGTTAGACTTCACTGAGTTTTATAGATGTCTTTTTGCAAGCAGTCTGAATTAAGAGTTACTAATGTTAGCACAGAAGTCAGAATCCTCAGGATGTTAATTCCAGTTTATGACACCCTGATCCATCCTGTAATGGGATTTATTCAGAATTTACATTTATTCAGTTACACTGGTTAGACAACTTGATTTGTTCAGTGTTATTGGTCAGAAATAGACAACAATCTCCTAGAAGAGATCCACAAAGATGATAAAGGGCCTAAAGCATCTCCCGTATAAGGAAAGCCAGAAGAAAAGAAGACTGAGAGGGGATCTGATTAATGTTTATAAATATCCAAAGGGAGGTGGATCTCTTCTTGGTAATACGTAGCAATAGGACAAGGAGCAATGGCCTAAAACTTGTACATAAGAAGTTCCATGCAAACATGCATAATTTCTTTCTAGTAGGCTACAGGCTGCTGTGAACTGCAAGAAGCACCATCTGCCCTAATTGGGAGAAGTGCACAATACAGCAGGCCTCGGAGGAGCTATGTGAGGGAGCATATGACTCCTGACTGGAGGATAAGGAGAGTCCTCCAGTATTCCGACAGCACAGCATGGCACTGTGAAGGCATGGCATGGGAGAATTAAACCCGCAGTCACTGCAGCAGGAACAAGTGGATCCTGTGTATTTAGCAGGCCTAACTTCAACTGAATCTGTTCATCCAACATACAGGAAAATCATCATACAACTGAAAATATAAAAATTATGTTCTTTAAGTAAAGTAATATTTTATGTGACTGTATTCTTATTCTGAGAAAAAAATGCTTGTGCCATATTGTGAAGTTTGGTTTGTTATTTTTCTTCCTGGAAATATCACAGTCTCTTTAAAATTCAAAAGTATCAAATAGCTATTGAGTATAATACCTACAGTCATACAAATATAAACTAAGTATGACAAAAATGTAATGAGTATAGTTTGTCACCTCAGAAGACTGGATCAAAATTATTCCTGGTCACACTTTACTTTCCTCCATTTCAGAAACTCAGATGCATTTCTAATTTGTTCATTTTTAAATTATTTCATTAAGAGCAGGATAACAATAGAAGATGGTATACAAAGCAAGACACATACCTGAAAAACCATAAAGGGAGATGACTTTCTTTTAACTGTATCATAAACTACAGATTTGCAGTAAAGGATATTTCCAGTTTAATCAGAAAAGATGAACTGCTACATCACAGCAAAAATGAATCCTGTGTACCTTAGGCTCAAAACCAACTAATAATTTGGAGAATTTTTATGTATAAAAACTAAGAAGCCATTACATAAAATAAATTCACCATACCACTAGCCAAAGTTGGAAGCTGTAATATAGCTTGGTTACCACATATTCCTCCATGATTTACAGTTTGATAGCTTGCTTTCCTTTTTTACTATGTGAGAATGAAGCATTTAGTCTATCTTAGAAGGCAATTTCACTTAAAGCAAAGTGCAGTTTTCCAACAGAAAGAAATCTATTCATGCATACAATTCTCATGAGAGCTTATAGGAATTATGTTTGCATTTCATGTAAAATCTACAGTTCTTATCTTCCGACAACTTGCCTCAGAATTAAAAATGAAAACATGTATTAAAATGCTGATGGGAGTTCTACATATAATGGCTCTGAAAATTTAAGGTGTATATACAAACTGCATCTGAATTCAACTGAGTATGTAATTCTAAAATTAATTACATGTCAAAAAGGAACAGTTTCTTATGTAACATAAAAGCAATATCGAACAAAGCAGCCTAAAGTGCAATATGGTTTTGAAACATTATGGAAAGTTATAAACTAACTGGAAAAAAAAAAAAAAAAGGAAAAAAAGGGGAAAAAAATATTTTATTTAAAATTATGGGAATGGAAAAATTTAGCCTATATCTACAGCCTCAGTGTTATCAGATTCATGGAGCAATTTCCTGGTCTCCAGACCAGGAATATATACTGAACAGGATATACTGAACAGTTTGCATCCACAGTGAGTTGGCTATGTCTTCTCTAGGCTCTACAGGGCACCTCTATGACCATAAGATATTTTCTTGTATTTTAGTCCTGAGTAGCCAAACTAACAACCAAAGATATAGAACAATCTGCCACAGATGGCTGTTTTTACAGCATGATCTTGGAAGTGTGCATTTCATCCAATGCTGAAGGAAACAAGGAGATGCAAATATCCAAGGGTAAGAACAATACTTCCACAAACTTTTTTCTGAAACTTCATCTATTAATTTTTTTACCTTACATACAGCTAGTTGGTTAATTCTGAAAAGGGAAATCACAACTGAATAACTAATAAACCCAGTGTGCATTATCAGGCTTCTGAGGAGAGATGAAAGAAGAGGTTGCTGCTGTACTACAGGTGCGGAACTGAAAGGTTCTCACAAACCCATAGCTATAGTCTATGAATTCTTTTTTGTTTGTTTGTTTGTTTGTTTCGTTTGATGTTGTTATTGTCTTCTTTTAAGAATAAAGGATTTTCTTTGCCTATGGTGATCACATTCTATATTTTCTGCAATATTTTCTGCAACATGTTTCAACTATGAAGATAATCAATATTAAATTGTAGGTGAAAGTTTTAAAATCCGTAATCACTGAACTTCACACAAATTTGCCCTACTCACAGAAAATCTCTGTGAGAACTGTTTCTTAATGGAACCCTTCTTTTAAGATCAAATGCATAATGTCTACAAAATGCTATGCATAAAAAGCGTTACAATATCTTTCATACATCCTGAAACAATGTATGATAGCAGAATCATCACTTACTGCGGTCAGTAATTATTGTTCTGGCTTCTTGATTGCCCGTCTTGTTTTTTAGATTTTGTGCTGCAGTTATTAGTTCATCCAGCTGGGGATGTCTTTGCTCCAGATCTTGTAGTATTGCCTAGTTGCAAAGAAATATAAAAATAAACAAGGAAAAAAGCATGAAGAGCTGTTGAGAAGACCACATTTAGCAACTTTTTTCTATGCCAGGTTGACATATAGCAGAATTGTTTTCTGCTATTTAAATTAAATGAAGAATTTGGTCTAGGTCATTACTTTTTCTATGAGCATACACATACAAAGCATATATATATTTATGTGTATGTAAAATCAGACCTATCTTGTAATAATCATTACAAATGAAAGCTATAAAACTAAGTATAAAATGGCAATCATTCTTAATTTTTAAGCCATCCAATTATGCGAGCACGACCATAAAACTTTTCCTCTGCAAACCCACAGAAAGAATAACGTTCTCATAGACTTTACAATTTTTTTTTCTTTTCAAAAAGATAGAATTTACATTATTAGCATATTAAGCAGAATTTCTCTAAAAACTCATGAAATCTAATTAATACTGTTTGTTTCTTAATATTTTAAGATTACTCAATTACTATCTGTTGGTTTAAAGCCAGCAAAAGACTGTTAATGTTGATTTTTCTGTCTTTAAACCTTACCTAATAGAAGAGTAATTACAGGTCACAGTAATTTCTATTAGTCAAGATACACAGAGCCCAGGCAACCTGACTATAACAGGAGAAGTGGATCTAGAGCTACTCAAAGAGAAAAAGGTGAATAATAGAATAATGAATCACAATCTTCAGGATGTAACAAATACTGAAATGCAACACTTCAAGACACAAGAAAAAATAAAAACCTAATAAAAGTAAGGCACAAGGAATTTACACATATATAGTTTAACTTTTACTGAAAGAATAGGGAGCAGCAAACAAGGAATCAGTAAAATGGCTTCCCAGATAAGAATTACCCAAGCACGTATTTAAAAGACATTGACTAAATGTAGCAACTTCAAGTCCCTGTCACATAGCTTCCAGAAAGGATGTTCATTAGCCTTCTCAGAATTAGGAGTTGGAAGCAGCAAAGTTTATTATCAAATTATGACAAGATGATGTTTCTGCCTATAATTCTGGGTCACCAGAACACATACAAGAGTATGGCAGGTATGGTATATCAACTATGAAGCTCACAACAAAGCTAAGTGAAGGATTTTTATTTCTCAGAATGATTACACAGTAACAGACGTTCATTGAAGATCTATTATATCTAGTTTCTAAACCCAAACCCAAAAGTTTGGGTGGTATTTTTTCTTCTATAGTGACTGGATAACATACAGAAAGTTAATGCAGCAGCTTGCGTAATTAAGGATAGAAGAAATTTCTATTAGAAGTCATTCCTTAGTGAAAGCATTCACGAAAAAGAAATAAAATCTACTGATGCAGTTACTACTTCTAGATATCTATGTGCCTTCAAAACTCCATTTTCAAAGAAGACAAGTTAATGAGTGACATGAATTTTACAAGAGCAGCAGCAGTCTCATTGCAGCCTAACAACATCTGCATTATACACATTACCAAAATGGACTGTGCAGAAGGAGCATTAAAATAAGTACAACATTCTCAGATAATTACACGGCCTACATAGTAATATTTCCCTTTTTCTCTCTTCCTACCTAGAAACTGTTTAGAAGAAGGCCAGCAAATTACATTATTCTATGGTCTTACATCTACAGTACTCCCAAATTGTTCCCTAAAGTCCCCCATTTTTCATATTTTGTATACTAAATATAATGATTTATCTGCTCCAGCCTGAGTCTCCATGTAGACATTACATACTGTGCTTGCAACACAGAAGAAAGTGTCTGCTGTTCTCTGATGAACATTCAATAAAAAATCACTACACTTGAATTCAGGGGAAAAACTGGAAAAACTGTGAAGGATTAGATGGGATACTGTAAAACAAAAACAGCAAAAAAAATTAAGCAGCAATACATATATGAAGATACTCATGAAACCTTTCAGAAATTCAAACAAATATTTGACACTATAAAAGTACATCCTCATCTCAAAGCTACTGGAAATTGTTGTAGAAGTTGTTACAACAGCTATGGGAGGAAAAGCCCATTAACTGTAGCGCCCTGGTGGATGCATTCCAGATGTAAAAGACCAGATGCCTCTGATAATAAATGTTAGCACGTTAAAAATGCTGTTCTGTGTAATTTAAAAATGGATTATACAAAAAGCTAAGCTATTACGAAAGATTTTTCAAAACAAGTTAAATTCAGATCTATCCAGTCCTCATCAGGACACCACAAGCTCTAGTACAAACACTTAGGGAGTCATCAACATGAGTATTTTTTCTTCTATAAACACCTCTGATCATGTACATATAATGTCCCTTTACCCTCATTTACCTGATGTTCCAAAAAAAAACCGCACAAAAATGAACACTGCTAAATATTATAGACCATATTTTAATCAATAATTTGATGTTAAATAATAAACGTAGATTAACGGAAGTAGATGAATGATGATGATGGATCATTTAGTTGTAAAAATGCATCGTTAAACACCAAAGAGCTTTTCTTTTTCCTCCATATATCTATGAATGCCAGCATAACATGCTTGGAGACAGTGCAGTAATGGAACGATGAGAGTCAGTCATCAAACCTGTCTACAGTTTGTCAGAAAGTGGTGCTATTCATTTTCAACAATCTTTCCACATTTTTGGACAGCAGCTGCTTGAAAGAAAAACCTAATTTTCAGGTTTCTAACTTTTATGATTTCTTTACACAAAATGGAGGTTAAGAAATACATTAAATTGTTTAAATCAGCAACTGAAAAAATGCTAAACTGAAAAACTGAAAGAAGGGAAGTGTGACAAATTCTAAGTAGAACTGCACAGTTTGAGATTGATAATTTAAATATTCTCTAGCTTTATAATACATAGATTATAAAATAAAACAGGACAGTAAGTACATTGGATATCTATTCACTCTTCTTTTTTTTTTTCTGACTTAAGAAAGCTACTAGTGTGTAAGTAAAAAAAAAAAAAAAACAAAAACGTTTGGTCAAAAAAGAGATTTAGGCAGATCCTCTCAATTAAGTAAGCTAGAAGCACCATTTTCCAAGTAAGACATAACCAAAGACTAAAACTTCTCAAGTATTTGGGATGCTTTGATTATAATCACTACCATCCATGCTTAATGAGATGAACTAGTAGACCACTAAGGTAATTCCAGTCTTGAACAATTAATACAGGAATGGAAGAAAGGTAAAATACATTTTTCTTAAAATCCTATTCACTCCCCGCAAACTCATGATGCCATTTTTAGGAAAAGCAAAATTCCACGGAACAGTCATTGTGGAAATGGTTCACTCATCTTTTGAAAAATCTTAGAATCTGAATCTTAAGCTTAAACAAAAATTGAAGCAATTACTTCCTGACCAAACTGTATAGCCGTGACAGCTTTCAGCAAAAACAACATTTCCTAAATATAATGTGTTATATACACACCTAGAAAGAGAGAAAGCTTTGGAAAAAATGCTTGCTAACAATTTCAGAAATGTAGATGTGCTACACCTACAATTCATCTGCATAACAAAATTGGCTTTTGAAGTTATTCCACCCAAGCACAATTTGAATTTCATTTCTTGTCACTAAGCAGTATAGGAATATGAGAGAAAGTGATGGTTTATGTACTCTCTGCAATTAAAAACAAAATTATGAAATAATTCAAGTACTGACATGCAGTGTAGTTTTCTTTTTAAGACAACTTTTGTTTTGGCTATTAGCTGGTTTGTGTTTTCCCTCCAAAACATGTATAATTTAAAGAAAATATGAAGAGCTAGACCTACTATTCAGCAGAATTGCTAGCTGACTGGTACCTGTCATGAAATCAAAACATTAACAGATGGGGCAGTATGGCCTGCGTAAGTTTTGTAGCTTATGTTTTCCATGAGTATTTATTTTTATGCCCACTTAAGGCCCACTCAAAAACTGCCTATACAGCCCTTACCACTGGCTTTGTGAATATATCAACACTATTAGTGATGCTGTGGGAAAGCCACAAGTGACAGAGTATCAGGAGTCTCACTAGAGACATGAAAAGCGTTGTGGAACTTTTTGTATGCCTTTTGTGACAGTAAATCAAGAAAATATGTTGGTGGCATTATAAATATCTGAGAACTATACTTGCACAACTTAAGAGTTCTGGTACATACCACAAAGTTCTGACAGCAAGAAGTGCAACACGCTTTTGATGTTCAGTAATCAAGCCAAACAGAGAGAAGAGTAATTAAATCTCCACACTTTGACCAACAATATTAGACCACAGTGATGGCTGGAGACAGGAGAACTCTCACCCTCTCTTTTGCTCACTTTCACCACCTGTGAAAATCAACCATACTGCTCTAAAACTGCATCAACAAATGGGACAGTCAGCAAGGAAAAGGACATTCAGCTTGGGTCAAGTTCACAAGTGGTTTTCAAGTACAGGAATAATCCTTAACTGGGAAGCGTCAAGTCAGCCAAGGTCCATTGAGATTGCCCATTGAGATTTTTATTTTTTTATTTCCATTTTCACAAACCACCATAATGGGTATCAACTTGAGAAAACAAAGGCATAGACATAAGTTGCAAAATAACAGCTCAAAGCAGGTCTAGCAAAGCAGGATGTGCCCTAGCCTCAGAAATAAAAAGATGGAAGCAAACAAAAGTTCAGCTTTCATCTGAGAAGATTTTCAAACTATGAAAATAGGCTGCAGAGACCTGAGGATGCAATGCACTAGATTCCTACAGAGAGATCTACCACTGAATGCATGCTAAAGGCAACAGTTGTGAAGTTTAGTCAGGCTAACTTTTGATAATGATGTGGATAATAATTCTGCAGACACTTCACAAGCACCTGAAGCATTAACACCACCCATTTAATTGTTGGCAAAGTTAAAAAAAAAATGGTTTTAAAAAGAACATAAGAAAACTGAAAGAAGATGAGTTTATACTAATTCAAGATGAAAGAGGTAATCAAAGGATCTCAATGAGACAAGTGAAGCCTTCCATTCCTGAACTTCCATTTCTGAAGGACACTTTGAACCTATCCCT